CGGAAAAAGGCTGCTACTAAATATGTAAGCAAATTTTGGTGACTCTGCAGGAGAACCACACCCTCAACACTAAGCATCAAGACTTCATCAATGATAGACAAACTCAGAGCGCTCGATTTCTTCCCCCCCCCCCCCATCAGCTGATGGATGAGAGCTTATTTCGAGGCAGAATTCCACAGCACATGTGGTTCTGGTGAATCATCAAGACCAAGACCTTTTTCCCTCCAAAAAAATCCGAAACAGACAAGACCCAAGATTGATCGGCTGAATGTAAACGTGTGGGTAGAACTGTCCCCAAGGAGCCAGCTTACCTAAGGTAAATCCCAGTAGCCTGGTCCTATTCTTACTGCTTCATGTGGCAATTCATGTTGTAAAGCACGGCGAATGCGCAATGATGCTGCTCGAGCCAATCATCCTCAAGCAGGCTGTCGTTAGGGCCTCCAAGTCCAAATCTACCAGAAAGCAGGCATGCAGACTTGTCAAAATAAAGTGTGGAGCAAAACTGGTACTGCAACACAGATGCAGGCTGGTATCTGCCAGCACTGCCTAGTCCATTTAAGTCAGCATTGCTATACAAGATGAAGGGCATTAAGAAGGCAGTGTATGTTAGGACAGAAGCCATTAGAAGGTCCTTTTTCATCTAGTCAAAGAAGTATCACCACTCTGCAGTTTGAGGTACTGGTCTTTTATGGTGCAACTTGTGATGGAAAGAGCCCAGTTAAAGGGGAAATAGACTTCCTACAATAGCCCAAAAAAGACCAGGAATGTCCAAACAAGCCAAACCATATCTGGTCAAGGTCAGTCCTGGAATGTAGCTGGAAGTGTGTCGCTGATACATCTGTTTCACGCAGCAGCATCTGGCACTGAGGTTGCTGCCTGAAACTATATGGAACCCACTGCAAAAAAAAATTGTTCTGTGAAAGGTAATCAAAAAAATTATCACAATTTCCAGGAAGATGAGCAGTTACTGGAATGTGGCAAATGCATAGGCTGACCAGAAACTGGCTGCCCTTAAGCCAGTTGTACCAGTAAGCCAAAAGAAGTCATGATGGTGGTCTTCGCACAGGCTCACTGCCATATCTCAGTTTTCCAACTGTGTCTGGACTTCAATAGAGGGCATGAGTCTGACATCATTTTGTAGGCAGTCTGTTAGCATTTTCGAACATCCGGTTCCCTTGGTTAAAAAAGCCTATTAGAAAAGCCAATGGAACTTCAGAAAAACCAGCGAAAATTATGTCTGTGGTTAAAAGGAGTATTTAAAAAACCTTCATGTTTTATTGTATGAGAAATCATTTGTTTGTGCTGGTATTTCAACAAATTTTAATGTTTCACATTTTAATTTTCACAGTAACTTTTAAAAATCTTTATTGGAATCTATCTGGCTTGGACAGTTGGAATGAAACAATTTGGGATATATACATTCTGATAGGGGGTTCTACCTTATTAGCTAGACAGTGGGTGGGTCAAATGGTTTTCACCACTCTCTAAACTTTTCCAATCATATTTAAAGAATGACACTACAGCACGGATTAAAAATGGAATTGCCATATTGGATTGCTCACTAATTTATTTATTTAGTACTGAACTCACCTGCTCAAACATCAGAACATCATGCTCCCGTAGTTGTAGTTCTTCCTTTACCAGTGGACTTTATCCCAACAGGAGATGGTCTTGGAACATTAAACTAGCTCTTGACCAACCCCAAATAAGGACCAGCACCCTCTAAATCAGGGCTATTCAAGTCATGGTCTTTAAGGGCCGAGCCCTGCTGATTTTCCAGTCTACCTTTAACCGTGAGCCAGGTGTGAAGCCTCTGTGGCCAATCAGAATCAGTATTTATTATACTAACTACCAGGTAGAACTGAAAACAGGGTCTGGATTTGGAATCAAGGTTCAGATTTAAAGAGCCCTGGTCTAAATAGATACAGAAATAACATAAATCACACATTAAGCAGTAACAAGTATAGTTAGAGTAGTAATAGCAATTCAGAGTGGACCCATGACTGCCTATTAGGGAGGAACTCCAGGCGGAAAACCCAGCGATAAGTAGCAGCAACCTAATTATGGCCCCTGACGTCCTGCACTGCCTCTTCAGCTGGCACTTCTGAAGAGATTAAAGGCTTGCTACCCGTTACAGAGAGCAATTTCCCCCTTTCAAGGTAGACAAACAAAATGACATGGTGCTCAGACTATTGTCCCTTGAGAGTCTCTGGAGGTCCATCCTCAGCTGGCTTATACCCCCTTCGATTCTCCCCTGTCCTCAGGACCCTGCACCTGCTTTCTTAATGCTGCCCATCTGGTTGCCCAAACAAGAATTTGGTGCCCGAATAGCTCACTCATGTTATCAGTATCGCTAACGGCACTGAAGTCAGCACAGAGCCTCAGAGACACTATAGACTGTGGCCAGGCCGGCACTTCTCCTTTCCCATGCAGTGTCACACTGCCAAACCACTCATCAGCTCTTTGGTCTCTGCTGCATCTGTTTGTTTGTGGGCTTTGCTGAAAACACAACACATAAACAGCGCAAAAGTCACGACCAAAAAGAATCCAAAATGCAAGAGTAAGGAAGCATGTAATTAACATTCAGATGCATCTGGTAAGAAGTATCACCCCCCCCCCCCCAAAATGGACACGCCCACCTCAGGTCAACTGAGGTAAGTTCAATGCTTAGAAGAGTGATGAGCAGTTTTACCCCCAACGGGCCGGTGTGTATGCAGGATTTTGGAATGACCTTTAGGTCAGCTGCTCATACCCATGGGTGAGGACATTTCAGCCAATCAGGCCAATTAGTAATCTAATTAGGGAGTTGCAGTGAAAACTCACATACCCAACAGCCCTTCCTGGATATGATCATCCCAACCCCGTCTTAGCTACTGCTAGGCTTAGGCACCAGTTTCCATTAGCCGAGATGTTGTTGGCAGGGGGAGAGTGTGCTTTCTGTAAGGGAGGGGGACAGAGAGGCCGGCAATAACATGCTTCAGAATTATGGAGGAGCCAGATCCTAGGAATTTCAGCAAAACCTAGGATAACACAGAGCTGTTCCTCATCGAAGAACTTTTCTGATGAGCAAAAAAAAAAAAAAGATTCTCTCCAGGCAGCTAATCATTTCCACATCTATTTTTTCAGTTACAGAAACTGCACAATTTTAGGAATTCAGTAGGAGCCTTCCTAACTGTAATTAGTCATCAACATGTTGCAGAAAATCCAGTGCAGAATTTGTCAGAAGTCTGCTACCAATGTTTTCTCATCCTTCTGCACAATGAAACTTCAGCGAGGCTTTCCAAAAAATACAAAATGGAGTCAGATATTTACAGACTGCATGTAAAGGCTGACCTTGTTTTTCTTAGAAAAGAAAGGATGTTATGACACAGCATGGCACAGGTAGGAAAAGGAAGGTGACTATCCATTTGTGGTTCCAAGACCAACAGGGACACGGACAGGCCGGGCAGAGTAGGGGCAGGCTCCCCTGGGCAGGACATGGGTGCAACAGAGGCTCCCCCAGGGTTAGGTTCAGGTACCCCTGCCCAGTCTACAAATGTGCCAGAGGACATTCAAGTCTGCGCACCTCCTTGGCCAGGAATGTGGGCGGGAGCTGTAGAAACTGTCGACCTGCTTCGGTCAGACAATTGCACAACCATGGAGACAAGGGTACAATTGGGGTCTCTGATAGGCTCTTCTAGAGTTCACTCACCTGGGTATCAACTGGGTTCAAAACTGGAGAAGGGCTGAGGGTTGTACCAGAGTCTGGGGATAGTCTTTTTGAGTCTGCTGTTCTGTTATGGCACAGGTGGGAAAAGGAAGGGGACAATCCACTTGCGGTTCTGAGACAAACAAGGGTATATCGGGGAAATTGTACACACTGGGTAAAACTACAAAACAAAGGGAGCAAGATGGGCCAGGAAACAAACATAGAATAATACCAAAATAACTAAAACCATGAAACAAAACACAAGGCATAAATTAGGCAGGCGAACCGAGGAACAAACACACTGTAACATTTACAATGGCAGACCGAAGAGCAGGACAAAGGCAGGGACTTAAATACACAGCTAACAAGCCAATCACAAGGACACGGCAAACAAGGAACAGGTGCAAATAATAATCAATTAACCAATTTAGAAAGACGCAGGAACAATGGGAAACAGGTGGAAGTGGAAACACTAAATAAGTACAAGGACTAGGGAACAAAAACAACCACCAAGTCAGGGAAGCACTACAGACTAGGGAACATAACAGAGGGGTGACAACACTAGGAAAGACTAAGAGGAAAAAGTCTAATTCAAACTGGACATAAGCTGCTGGCCAAACAGGGTAGAGACATAAAGGGTAAGGTCCGATGGGTGCTGACCCTAACCCTAAACCTAACCCTAACCCTAACCCTGACAAAGGGACTTTTGAATCAAGTTTTATGAAAATCAGCAAGGCAGTGAGAAGGCAGCGTCATAATCATAATTGTAAAATTATTTTCTTGCATCCACCTTGATGTAATCAGCCCAGCTGTCATGCCCGGCTCGTACGGTCCTCCTGTGTGCCAGCCCCCCTCATTAATCTCATGTGGAATCCCAATGTTATCAGCTGTTTCTTGTTGTTTCATTAAGTCCTGTATACAGTGGTACCTCAGTTCTCGAACTCATTAGAACTTGTATTTCTTAAAAGTCGAACCAACCAGTTAAAAAAAAAAAACCTAGAGCTTGATCTGAATCCGTGAACGCCGACCTAAGATAACTTGTACACAACCTAAGATAACTTGACGTCAAGCGGCATGTCTCTCCGTGGAATAGCGTGGATTCGCTGTGATAGCATCCTGCATGTTTACACTAGCTGAATACATGTATTTAGACAGTAAAAATACATTTAGACAATGATAGACAATAACAGTAATTATTATTATATAATAAAATACATTTAAAAATAAAGATTTCTTATTCATTATTTTAATATTAATAATAAACCATTAATATGTTTAATTATAATAATATTGTTGTGCCGAGCGGGGACGGAACAGAGACAAAGGCGCAGACGTCAGGGTATCGGGGAATACGGGGTTTAATTACAGATAAGGCAGGCAAAACGCAAACGGACAATACAATGACCGGACTGGGGAAACAAACTGAAACGCGGACAAAATACAGAGGACTAATGACAACAACCAGAAACAGCTGATCACACAGGGATTCCACGTGGGGTTAACGAGGGGGCGTGGCACACGGAAAGAGCGAACAATCAGGGCAGGACACATTGTTTGGATACATTTATTTTCTTACTTTACAAATGTAACTAACTTTACATTTTTGATAAATGTGCTTAGATGTGTTTAGTACAGTATATGCTCTTCTTGTTTTATCCTGTTCATTTTCTGTTTAAATGCTAAAAAAAAAAACATATTTAGGTCAAATTTTTTGAGGCCGGGAACCAATTAATTGGTTTTCCATTATTTCTTATGGGGAAAATTTCATCATAACTTGAACTTTTTAGGATTCGATCCGGAGTTCTGCACGGATTAAATTCGAGTTCTGAGGTACCATTGTATTTAAGTCCACGTCAGAGTATGTATCCCCAGTTCCGTCATTGACGTTGTTTGCCGTGTTTTGCCTTGTCTGTTAGTTCTACCTAATAAACTTGTGTTCCTGATTCTCCGTTTCCTGACCCTGATTCTCCGTTTCCTGACCCTGATTCTTCGTTTCCTGACCCTGATTCTCCGTTTCCTGACCCTGATTCCCCGCTCCCTGCTTGCCCGACGGCGATCATGACACCAGCACTGAGGCCATATTTCTGGCAGTGCTTTACTGACCTTCCCGTCTGACGGTACATAGGTGGAGAAGCTGGGGGGGCTTTTATAGCTGCCCTCCTCCCATATCCAACCACACTGAAACACCCACACTTACGCTGTGACTCCAGAATGTGCTGGTCTTCATGTTTACAATTCACCTAGAACCACAGGTTAATCGAAACCATAATCAAAATGGCCACTTTAAATCTGTTTCATCTCTGGTTTTGCCTGTCTCCTAGGTTCAACTGCCAGTGGCACCTGCAGAAAATTGTGATTCAGGTGGCCTTTAAGGGACAGTTCAATTTATCTTCATATTTATATTTATGGGGGTGGTCAGGCGTGGGTTAGTTCTTTCTGGGGCCTCACAAACAAAAGAGAAATGCGGGAGAATTAAAAATGAAGTAACATCAATAACCGCTAATCAGAGCCACGGGGTGAAAACTTACCAAGCGGGTGGAGGGGTATGTCCACGATAAGACCTTCCTACCGGGGGTGGAGGTTCCAAGGTGGGGTGACATCCTGGATTTTCTGGGGCTAGTGATGGTCACCCCTTTGATCCATCCCACGTTGCCTTATCTCTGCCCCTGCCACTCTCAAAGAGAGCTCCAGTCCCAGAGATCCACTCATGCAGCCAATTGCAGGCAGCACTGAAAAAAACAAATTTGCTGGCTGATGTCTTTGGCTGTAGCGCAAAGTTTATTTTCCTTAGTCTTTGCCACAGGCAGATATGAACCAAAAATCTAAATGACTAAAAACAAACAAAACAAACAAAATGCCTGTGAGTTAATAACAAGCATTATTCCTCTTTTTGTTCAAGAATGAGAAGAAGCAACTTTTGGTGCCTCATGTTTAATAGCTAATATCCCCTGTACTATGGGCACTTTCCACCACACCAGGTACCGTACTTTTGGTACTTCAAGAAAGTACCAATAGTATGGAACTTCAAGGTGTTGGTTTTCTACTGGCGTAAGAATTGGTGCTGGCGTCGAATGACATCACAGCGTGGGGCTGGGTATTTCGCACTGAATACTAAAATGACTGTAGTATATTATAGGGCTGGACAATGTGCGATATTAGTACAAACATTGCATGTTATGCACATGCAATTCTTACATCGTTAGTCAGCTAGATTAAGATCAGGCTTTTTCTTACTTACGATACTGTACGGCCATTATAGCACAGAGGGTTTAAGTTTTGTTAAAACATTTGTACTCTGTCATAAAAAAACCCTAGCTAGCTTTGCATTTTTAATTATTATTCCTTATTATTCCTTACATATATTACACTATAAGTCATGCAATCTCCACATGTAGCAAAAAGAAGCAAAAGTGATACAATCGCAGGATGAATAGTAACAAAGAAATATATTATCTGAAGCTGTTTTATTTCATTTGATTTCTTCAAAATCTTTCACAATCTTGAATCGAGCCAAAAACAGAGCTCTTCCCACTCCCTCTGTGGCAAAATCTGTATTTGCTTGCCTGTGCTGTGGACTGCCAATCAAATCACCCTGAGTATGAGGACTAAGCAGCAGTGGGCGGGGCAAAGCTCAAAGGCACCAGCCAATTGGCTCTGGGTGCCAAAGGAATGAATCCCTGGTCATTTTTCTTTCTTCTCATGGCAGAGATACAAGTTATTGTGTTGCTAAGGGTCTCTCAATCCTTGAATGACCTACCGCAATGTATCGGTTAAGCCATTTCATTCAGTAAGCAGAATAAAAAGTACCCCAATGAGCCACTTCTAGCTGAAATTTAAATAATGTTCTGCTTCATCCCCTGTTCCTGCACTGCCTGGTAGTGACAAGGACAAAAGTAGACTTGATTTCTCGTGCAGAAATAAGAATCACAGCTGCTTCTTATACCTGGAAGCACAGGGCACGCGGTGGGGGAGGGCCGGTCTGGTACAGGAGGCAATTTACAGACAACAGGTGACCTACTTACCTGCCTTTAAGTCCACACAATCATTGGGAGAACATGCAAACTCCACACAGAGAACAGGGGCTCGGATCTGAATCCCCAACACTGGAGGTGAACATTCCACATAGTCTGGAGTTCTTGAATTTGAATTTTTTGTTCAGGGGTGCTGAGAGCTGGGTGGGAACAAAAATGTGGACTGTCTGGGGTTCCCCGAGGACTGGGCTGAGAAACACTAGTCTAGGCTATATGCTTTCTTTTTGGTTTTTCTAAGATAAAGTGTTGCAGGCTGTGGTGAACCAATGACGCACAATAAGCCCCACACTGAGAGGCTGCTTTGACCTGTGGTTTGTGGTTCCTCTAAAACGGGCACACTCTCATTCATCTATGATAAGCATCACTTTTAATAGTGACTCAAGAGCAACGTGGACTTTTCCAACCTGAATCAGTGCTTTAGGAAACAAGTGTGTCTAACTTTAAAATGGGGAGAAAATGTCCTTCAAATTAAGGGTGAGACCCAAAGAAGATGCAGCTCATTCCTGACAGATATACAGAGTAGATACTTTTTATTATAAAAACCTTCTTCTTCAATTCAGTCTACCTTAAGGTTATTTACTGGTATAACATTCTTCTGTATATTAAATATTGACCTAATAATTATACAATGGATTTACAATTACTACATAATTTCTTGGTTTATAAAACATTTATTGAGATTTTCTTTATTTGTATACTCTTGGAATTTGCTTCATAAATGAACATAATATTTAATCAGCATTTGACACGTTGATGTCTTATAACACAAATCCATCCCATGGTGTCGCATCAAAACTGGTGATTATATCACTTGCATTGTCAAACTCCCCCATTTCCCATACCACTATAGCACAGGGTCACTGTGTGTCTATCCCAGGAAGAGAAGCCCATGGAGCCTTTGGATGGGATGTCACAGGGTTAGGGGCACGTCAGTGACACGACTCACCTGTTTCTGGGACTGCAGGACAACTGGAGTACCTGGAGAAAACCTGTGCAAATGTGGCTTAACCATGAAAACTATGGTTACACACAGCTTGGATGCAGGAACTGGAGATCATGATGAGATCAGTCCACAGCACAACTCAGTGAGTAACCATGCAACTCAGCATGAACCACTGTGATGATCACCTTTACCTTCCCAGTGACTTCACCTAAAATAATAACGTGTTTACCCTCCACTAAAATAAAGATTTGATGTGCTTATGGAACATCCATCTGCTTACCAGGACTAATTTTATTTTTTGGTGTGAACTGCAGGTAACAATCCCTAGAAAAGTG